CTGAGAGATTGGCATACTCGCTATACATGACATATCATCAAGTCACATCACATTTGCATGTACTTGTAGAATCACTCACGATCTTCTGATTGTGGCAGAGAATGCTTGCAATGTGATATGTCTCAATGCTATAGATAGACACCGCTTCGCGTAATGCTCAGTCCGTTGTTCCAGTTACAATCTCACTACTTGGATGGTGAGGAAAGACGACACATCTGCATTTTGATTGTTTTCTCACTTCACCACGAAACGCGTCTTTGCAGAGTAAGCGACTTGTGACTTGACTATACGGATGTCATTGATTGCACACGTTGAATTCATTTAAAACCTATTCTGCATATCATGAAGCTAACTCTGCAACGGCACAGAAGATGTCACAAGTAATTTCGTCACTTATGACACTTTCTCAATTGTTTACAGCCTACTGGTTGAATATGAGTGAAAATAACGAAAGTAAGCCTAAACATCTTTTAGTATTTAAAATATTGTGCACTTTTGTCAGGAGAAGTACGAAATCAATAAATAAAATATGTGGTGTTAAGGAATCTCATTACTTACTATTCACGATTTATTTGTGCTCATGTTTGTATATTCGTGTATTGTTAACCCGATTTCGCATACTCTAATTTTATTGCGTCCTTGGCACAGTGGTTAGGAGGCTCTTCGATCATGCACGTGGTTTGGAGTTCGATCATTGCCGATGCACACCTGATATAAATGTTGAGCCTGCGAAATGTTGGCTACTGATATCACAAGGTGATAGTTTCATACTTGTACAAAAAATACCGTGGGCAATCAAGCCTTAATCAAAATAGGAAAAAATTAATAAACTGACATAATCTAGGCTGTACATTCGTGTATTTATATCAAATTGGTCGAATATCGTCTCATTCGATAGCTTCTCGGATTCTGCATCATATGGCAACATTCTTCTCATGGTTCTCTTCTTTGATTGCTCTTTCCAGTGTGTCAAACATATTGTTACTTCGTCTCTGATATACTACTTATATCGGATTTTAAGTGGCACTCACCACACTCGCCCCCTCATTATAAAGTCTCTCCTGTAACCGCCTTGATCGCCACACAGACTTTTCATCCTGCTGCTCTTCTGGTACCTTGTCTTGACATTCTTGTCTCCATCTTTGTAGCAGACTAGCGTTTACTCTTTTCTCTTTATCTCCTCTCTTTATTGTGTACACTGGACCGCGTCTCGATGTGACCACATATGGTCCCTCCCACTTCGGCAGAAGCTTTCCTGATCCTGGTCCACTTCCGGTAGTATACTTTCGTTCTCTACATTTCACCTGGTCACCTACTTCAAACAGCTTCCAAGCTTTGATTTGTTTCTTGCCATAATTTTCGATGTCTTTCTTGCGCTTCTCTTGTATATTCTGAATAGCTTGTTTCCGCTCACTTGTCCATCTCTTGCTGTTCCATTTTTGTTGTGTTGGCCAAGTTTTATGGTGCATCGGTAAGCGTGGTTTCCTCCCATACATCAGCTGGAAAGGTGACTTTTTTGTTGTCCCTTGTACTGTGGCACGATGTGCTAGTAATACCAACGGTATGTCAGTTTCCCAGTTGCCTCTTTTCGCAGCTAGCCATTCCTTGATTGTACGATTGTTCCTTTCGGTTAAGCCGTTTGTCTGCGGATGATACGGAGTCGCTCTAATCCTCTTAATACCCAGTGCCTCCAGGCGAGTCTTGAACTCCTCACTTTCAAAACAGGGGCCTTGATCTGTCAATATCATTTTTGGTACACCATGATCCGCCACAATATGTCGAATAACCGCCTCGGTTACGGTCTTGGCGCGCTGATCTGGAATCGCTACAGCATTTACCCACCGCGTGGCGTGTTCTGCCATCATTAAAATGTATTGATTTCCACTTACTGTTTGAGGGAAAGGACCCATTATGTCCACGTACCATAGGTCACCAACCGCCGTTACGTGTATCGTTTGTAGCTGTGGTCGAATGTACCGATCACCCTTCATCAATTGACACTGTGGGCAAGCGAGTACGTAGTTTGCAATATCGCTTCTCATGTTTGGCCAGTACGCACTTTGGCTCACTAGGTCGTATGTTCGTGCAACTCCTGTATGGGATAGTTGGTGGCATTCTTGAATGACCCCACGACGAAGGCTTTTTTATATCACTGTAACCAAGCTACCATCACTGTCTTTCCAAGTTAGGACGCCGGCAGCGTTTAGTTTGAGTCTATGTTTTTGCTGCAGTAGCATCTTTAACTCTCTATCGCTGCTGCCATTTCAATTTCTTTCCCTTCACTTATCATCTGAATGACTGTCTTAAGAGTAGGATCCGACTTCTGGTGGCGAACAAGTTGTACGGGATCTTGCTCCAAAGCGTTTACTGCATACGCTACCTCTGGTAGTTCAGTCTCATTATCTGATCTCGACAAATAGTCAGCTATTACATTTTCTTTTCCTGGAGTATATCCAATCGTGAAGTCATACTCTTGTAGGCGTAACATCCATCGTGATAACTTCCCTCGTGGATCCGTGCTGTTTTCAACCACTGAAGAGGTTTGTGGTCGGTCTCAATGTGGAATCGGCGGCCGATCAGATATGGTCTCCATTTTTCTAGTGCCCATACAATGGCTAAACACTCCTTTTCCACCGTAGAATACTTCTGTTCTGCAAGTGTCAACACACGGCTAGCGTATTCAACAACCATATCCGTTTGTCTTAAAACAGCACCTATACCATAATCACTGGCGTCTGTCGAAACTGTGAACTGCTTCCCTGGCGCTGGCAGTTTCAACGTCATCTTTTGACCATCTAACAGCTCTTTAATTCGCTCAAACGTTTGTTGTGCCTCTTCCGTCCACATGAATTTCGCGTCACTCAGCAACGTATATAGTGGTGTTGCTATCTCATTGAAATTTTTGACAAATCGGCTGTAGAATGCCGCTCTTCCCAAAAACTGTCTCAGCTTTCGCTTTGAATTTGGCACTTCGCTGGTTTTGACCGTCAGGATCTTCTCCGGCAATGGCCGTATTTCACCATTTCCCACTTTGTAACCCAGGAGGACAACCGTGTTTTACCTATTTGGGACTTGTTCTTATTAATCTGCAGTCGAAAGTCATCAATTCTCTTTAAGATAGCCTCGATGTGGTCTATATGGTCCCTTTCCGTCTCACTATACACCACCAAGTCATCTCCATATACTTCTACGTTCTTCAGACCCTTCAGTAATAAGGTCATTAATCTTCTGAATGTAAATGGGGCACCTACCAATCCAAATGGCTTTCGTTTAAACTGGTATTGTTTCTGCTCAAATGTGAAAGCTGTTTTACTTCGATCACTTTCTGCTATTGGGATCTGCCAGTAACCCGATCGTAAGTCGAACACGGTGAATAACTTGGCTTAATGAAGGCGATCAAGAGTTTCTGTTACGGTAGGCATTGCACACTGTTTTACTTCGGTGAGGCTATTCAGCTGTCTGAAGCCGACACAAAATCTATATTTCCCGTTAGCTTTCTTCACCAAAAGGATTGGCGAACTGTACGGACTGTCGGCTTCTTCGATTATTCCGTCGTTTAACATTTCTCTGACTTGTCGGTTAACTTCTTCTTCAAGGTGAACCGGAACTCGTCGCGATGAAAAGACTGTCTTCCCCGTATCCTTCAGTGGGATGTTATGCTTTACCTTATCACAATAACCGTATGGGTCTCCATCACTAGTGCATAAACCGGCATATTTACTCATCAACGTGGTTAGACGTGGTGCATCTTGCGGAACAATGGTTGTGGTTTCCACCTCAGCGACTTCACTATTCTCATGTATCGCGAATTGCCCGTGTTTTGTGACCACTATTCTATTCTTCATATCGATTACAGCTCCTACTTCTCTGAGAAAGTCTGCTCCCAAAATCGTTCGTCTTATATCAGAAGTTACAATAAACGGATATCGTATTTTTCCTGCTCCAATCTCTACAACGCAGTCTGAAACGCCAAGAATATGCAACGGATGTCCTCCTACCGTCTGAACTGCTAATGTGCACGGCCTTATTTCCTCACACTGTTCTCTACCTATCAACGAAACTGCGGCCCCTGTGTCGATCAAACAAACTATTTCTTTTTGGTTCACCCGTAATCTCCCGTACACTGAACCTCTTTCGACTAACCCGACCACCTCCAAACGCGAGCGAGAAAAAGAAGGAAGACTGTATCGTTTAAGGTTTTCCTGCCTTCGTTTCGAGCAGTTTCCCTGCCAGTGACCGGTTCCTCCGCAAGCAAAGCATCTGTTGTTTGTTCTTTTCTTTATCTGCATAGCCGCCACCTGTTGTTTCAACTCTTCAATCTGGTCTTCGATCTTCTTGGAATCTTGGCCCTCCGAGATCACTGGAGCAACATGCGAGGTCATTATCTGCCTTGTCACCTTGGCCATTTCATAGACATCCATTGGCTGAGCTGCGTTAACTAGCTGCAACTGATGCGCGATATCTGTCGGGATGCATTCGAGGAACTGAGATGCCAGCAACTGCTCCCGTGAATCTTCGTCTAGGGTGGGTAACGCGCGTCGCAGGTGATTCGTCAGCGTTACTGCGAGAACCAACGGATCCCCATCCTGGCCAAGTCTCAGCGTCCGAAACTTCTGCAGCGCCTCTTGTCTGTCCGCAGGGCTGTCGAACTCGCACACGAGCCTCTCGACGACCTTGTCCCACGCCGCCTCACCTTCCAGCTCCCGAGCGTTGTCGTACGCAGCCTTCGCGCGGCCCCTCAGCAGCGTTCCCAAGACAACCAGCTTCGCCTTCTGCTCCTGCACTCCAACCAGCTCCGCGACAGCTTCGAAGTCCCTGAGGAACGTCCGCACATCTCCCTCCTCGAACACCTGCGGCCACGGCACCTTCATATCCGGCAGAGGCAGCGACACCAAATGTAAAGAAGACAAGACTGAGGAGAATGAAAGGAATGTTTATTTGCTGAAACGTTGACCTGCAATGATCATGTTGAACCTTTTCACACGGTGTGGTTTGTAGTCATGGCTGGTGTTGACCACGCCTACCAGTATTCAGTCGAGGTGAAGAGCAGGTTCTCACTATTTCTGGATGATACCTTGAATAGTGAGGACCCGGATATCCTGCTATCCAAATTACAAACCAAACGAGCAGAGAAAACAAAGAAGGAGAAGTCTCATGCTCAGCCACAGCAACAACAGCAGGCTACACCTGCCAAGGTTGAAACGGTATTCAAGAGCGAGGCGAGAGCTGATACAACAGTCCCGAAAGCTGCCCCCGGATCTCCAAAGTCTCCAAGTGCAACAGATCTACCACCGGTGTCATCAGAGGATGCACAGAACTTCGCAGTGAAGGAGACAGAGGAACTGACCAGTACTTTCGTTCGTGGCCGAGCGGTCTAAGGCGCTGGTTTTAGGCACCAGTCTGAAAGGGCGTGGGTTCGAATCCCACCTCCACCAAGGGCTTTTGAACGCCAATACCATCAACGAACAACTCTCAGCCAATCACGCGACACACTGTCAGTACAAGTTTCTCTGCTCTAACGTACAATCATGAGTGGTCGCATCAAAGGTGGAAAGTCTCGAGCGAAGGCAAAGACTCGGTCTGCTCGTGCTGGTCTTCAGTACCTAGTTGGTCGTGTGCATCATCTTCTACGCAAGGGAAACTACGCTGAACGTGTCGGTGCTGGAGCACCCGTCTACCTGGCGGCTGTCCTCGAGTATCTGGCCGCCGAAGTACTCGAATTGGCTGGCAATTCCGCGCGCGACAACAAGAAAACCCGTATCATACCTCGTCACTTGCAATTGGCCATCCGCAACAATGAGGAGTTGAACAAATTACTCGGTGGTGTTACCATCGCCCAATTTCGCGACTATATTTGACTAACGAACAATACAAATGAGAAATTTGTGTGGAGAGTTGAGTCAGAGGAGGAACTGAAATTCTAATCACAGGTGATTCTTCAAACATTGTGATGCTGGACACCATCTGGTGTTCATATGCCAGAGACATCAGTATTATTCATAATGATTTCGGAATGCCACATTCGCAATACTTGAACAGTCACGACGCTTCCAATAGACGAAGGAATAAGAAACACTGTATCAGGACACTTTCAATGAAAAGAAGATGGAGAAAACTTTGACGTCACTCGGCGAAATGTGATGGTTGTTCACGCAGAGCTACGTGGAGCAATGGCCGTCGGATCGTCCATCTCACAGGCATTCGTTGACATTTTCATGGATTGTAGGCAGGAAAATGCACCTGAACCATTCATATCATCAATGAAATCTTGATAGAGGTGTGCAGATGACGCTTGAGTAATAATGAGAATGACTGATACTGACAAATTCGTCCCACACACAAACAACAGTCATGTAGACTCAGTGTGGAGATTCACTATGGAAATTGAGGATGATATTGAAGCTAGCTGAACTGTGAAGTACAAATTGTGACAGATGACAGCATAAAATTGACGACGTTTTACCTTCAAGAAACCTGCACATTCCGGGAGATTCCGTGATTATCTATCACTCAGATGATCAACTGAGAGTAAATCGAGTGTTAATACAAGTTCTTGCAGACAGAATGCTCAGACTTTCAACAACAGTGGATAACTTAAGAGAAGAAATAATTGTCTTATTGAAAGTGCTACTCGGAAGCAACAACTCAAAATAATTTATCCGAGATAACATGAAAGTGCATAGAAGGAGGTTGAGAACAGATAATGACAAGAAGGAAGATGGTAAAAGCACGGCGACAATAACATACGAAATGGGTTTATCAGAGTCGCGCAACGTGATGACACAGCGGTTAGGACTCTCGCTGATCATGCACGTGGTCCGAGGGTCGATTCTCTGTTGACGCACACCTGATATCCTTGATAAGTCTGCGTAATTTAGGCTACTGATATCACATGCTGAAAATTACATAATTTTATCAAAATACTGTGTGGAATCAAGCCATAATAAAAAAAATAAAAAAATGACGAGCCACCTAGTATGGTAGAAGAATAATCTTGACACTTCATTATATTCGGAATGCGAAAATTGCCTGACAGTCACAGTCTGTATTCACTCGATTTATTGAGGAATGTTATTTTAAAATTTCAGATCGTGAAAATATGCTGAACACGAGTAGAATGAAATCAGAAAGAAAATCAGGTTAGTACAAAATGTGACTGAAATACTTTGCTCACATACTTGTGAAATATCGTTTCGGAAAACTGTTCTTTCAATCATTTAACAGATGAGACTGAGTACACCGATATGAGGACAACCACTTGGGTACCGTCCTAGTGTACAATTCCATAGTCTCATTTTTCTGTTCAGGTACACAGACTTAGAGCCTAAACGCTGGCAATGTAGTTGACGTCAATTGTCTGAATAATGAAATCATCTTGTAGATAAAACGCCACTGAAGAGAAAAGCTTCCACTCTGATAACAGGACCTCTAAATTCTATGATTACCTATATTGTATTAATTAAACATGTATTTTATAAAATAATACGACCATAACATAGTGCGTTGTATATTTCAGAGCATCGAAGGAAGAAACAAAAGGAGAGAAGTGACGAAATAAAAAGTGGGTATAACATTATAAGTTAGATCCGAATTAAAAGCCATTGGAAATATTATGTGTATTTTGTGACAAATCACATTGGACAGACAGTTTCATTCCCTAGACAGGAGCGTTTTCACAGTAAACCGTGTGTGTAAGGAGTCTCAAATCACATCGATCATGCCATTCATCACAATACTTGACGATTTGTGCACTGTGGAATAGAAATATGTCATCTACACTCTTATCAGAGAAAAGTGTTGTCTAAATTCAGATGTATACATCATAATGGCAATTGTGGTTAGAGGCACCGTTAGAAAAAACGTGCACATTCATGAAGTCAGTGAAGAAGAGTATTTCATCATACTCCTTCCTGTTTTTGACAGGTGATTCGATAGTAGTCAGAATGTTTTGTGACTGACTGACCGCAGGAACACAGAGTCACATTGATGACATCCACTAATGAAGCTATCTGTCGGAAAAACAATGCGCTGACATTCAGTAGACCTATAAGAAACAGACGCAGGTGCATTCATGATTAACCTTCATCCAAACATTGATGCGCCGCTGGCACAGTGGTCAGGATTCTCGCCGACCATGCACATGGTCCAGGGTTCGATTCGCTACCGCCGCACACGCGATATCTATGGTCGGCCTGCAAAATGTAGGCTACCGATATCCACGCTGAAAATTCCATACGTGCACTGAATATACGGTGTGGCATCAAGCTGTAATCAAAAAAAGAAAATAAAGAAAGCACGTAGTTAAGCTGAGGTTCTTTTCTCAGGAGCGAATTCATTCATTCATCTCTACAGTGGTAATACATCGAATTATTGTTGAATGTGTGGGTGTTTGCATGCGCATATTAGGTTTGTCAGCGACACAAGAATGAACATTAGTCAGCGTTATTTTTCGCGCCATGCAAATACTTCAAGCATATGATGAATAGTAAAACTGCAAGTAGGTGGGGTTGATGATTTGTAAGAGAGTAGTAGCGGTGAGTTGTCAATGCATCACAGAAGTTGAATAAGTATATATGTGTTGCTCAAAATAGTGAATAATTGATTGAGTGGCTTGTGATCAGGCCGAACATGGAAAGGAAGGAGAATATTGAATGTTGTAATAGTTCCAGAGAAATACAAGAGTGACAGGGATTCAGAAAGACAAGCACACAAATCTCAAGTCAGTCGAAATCAACGCGTTTGTTACCATGATAAAGTTGGGGAGGGATGTTTGAGTACTTTTCTCGTATATGCATAAATGTGGATCTTCTAAGTGAATGACTGAGGCTTCAGCTATATGACGGAGATGAAAACGTATTGCCTCCAGCAGTTCTTTCTTTAATCAGTTCTTGGAGACATTTATTTCCCGACGCGAATTTATAACAAGGAAGAAAGTTTAATGAAGGAGGATTTTTGGAACTGACTGACCTTCAGTGAACGCTTCATCTGGATACTCTACATACGAGGATTATATGTACTTCTGAAACACATTTCGAGATATACGTCTTATAAGCAATCAAACGGCCAAATTGAAAATACCGAAATGCTATATATACAAAGCACTTTTTATACTATCCACATTCACTGTTGTCAGCAGACAGAGAAATTGGAACATACTTGCGTTTGCAGAGGCTAGTGCAATTCGAGTTCATAAACCAGGTGTCTGTGTACAAAAGGAGTTAGTCATCACTCTGAATCTGTCATGGCAATGCGTTTCGCGTATTAACTGTTATTACTATTAATATTATGAACATTCAATTCTGCCTCTTAATTATTATTACTCTCGATTCATTCAATCTATCACTTTGGCGTTAATATTTTGTAAAACTACCACTTTTATTATTACTTAGTTCCCACTTCTTGATATGTTATCCAATGGCTGGTTATTTATCTTAGTTATTCCATACAAGTGAGATTATCTCTTTGAACGTGACGTGGAAGAAAATGGAACGTGTCGTTCTGCATGATAAATTCAATGTAGTTTACTTGCTTATATGTCCCAATGTAATTGTAACGTTATGTAGATACCTCTGTATGTAGAGTAGTTTTACCGAAATTCGATGAATTGACTGAATCCTGCCTTATTAACCATTTCGGTTGTCTTATATATATCAGTTCACTTGTCAATGTGGAGACCGGTAGAAAAGTTATTGAACACGCTTATTTTTAAACTGCCACTTAACCCGAAATTAATCATTTTCACTAACAGTTCGACGCAAGCAACTAGGAAAACTCACATTTGAATGTGAGTAAAATGAAATTTCGCGTACAAGTTACCATAGTAGCATATATTATTTTAGATGTTGAGCTGTAACTGTATCCATTTCACTGACGAATCCTGCATGAACACAAATCAGCGGGTGAATCGCTGAATGAAAATATCAAGCGTCAGATGGCTGTTTTCCCCTGATTTGAGACCAGCCTCAGACCGCTGCAACAACAACAACAAACACAACGAGCATCGAACACGCCTCATTGAACATGGGTGCACTTAGACCGGAATTCGATGACCTCTTGGATTCCAACATTCTTCGTTCAGAATCAAGTACTGTCTGATGACGCTGGTATTCCCTGATTCGGTCAGGAAAAGTAGTGTTGTTTGTAAACAACATTTAAGAAATATAAATAAACGACACAGGATTCGTTCACAAAACGTCACATTAATATCCACCGAAATCCACAGCTTTCAGATATCTCTTTCGTATCATTCATTCAATCAACACAATTATCTTAATTAATGTGCAATTTGTTTAATTCGCTTCCATAGATATTTCAAATAATAAGGATTATGTTGCAAAAGGTAAGCAAGAAGCAACAGAATTCATTGGCTACTCGCTCG